GACCCACTTGAAAAATCTAAGGAATCTTTCCCATAATTATAGGAAAATGTTTTGTACAATGTAGAGCTCACCCTTGAGAATTGTAATTATTTGAAGAAATCTTAATCAGAATATTGCAAAAAATGTGGAAGATGGGGGACTTTTACCCCTCTCTATTATTTGTCTGAGACAGTATAATCAGAATGTTCGCTCGTCTGTGAGAGTCATTCATACACAATACTTTTACATTCTGTCTGAATATCATTCTGTCCTTTGTACCAGCCCACTACGTCATATTCCTAACCAGTATTAAATATTAAATTCCAAATTTCCATTAAGTATTAATATTCACACTTGTCCGGAAAGACGTTAGGAACGTTTTGAAATTCTTCCTTTCGAATCGTTTTTATTTCATTTTTATTATTAAATTTCAATTTACTACTTCGGATTGTACGGATTGCTGCACAGATCAAATGTAATATCTTTTAATTCAATTTTTCCACTCTAATATCTTGTTATGTTTGGGGAGTCTGTTGTAAAGTGTTAGTGTGTGTGTGCGTTAAACTTAACCATAGTCGTTTCTAGATGTGTCTGTTCTGCTGCTGCAAAGGTCGAGTTCAGTAACATCTGTGAAAAGTTTGTTTTCCGACTTTTAAGTGAACAACAACTTCTACACACAGACACGAAGTAGACAAGGAATAAATGGAAAATAATGTAGATATGTATGTGTATGTATGTGAGTACGTATGTGAAAGCATATGACGCCAAAGGCAATCGTCTGGAAAATTGTTTCCTAGCAAATGTTGTTATCATAGTTTTTCAATCGGTTTCCATAAACAAGCAAAACTTAATCCGAAAGGATTTCAAGTTTTGTTTGGCTATACGTGTAGTAGGAAGAGAGGGTTGCATTTCCAAAAGGAAGTTATTTGAAATTTATAAATTATACCATTGCATGAATATTAAATTAAATTCTGTGTAATATCCAATAAGAAAATTAACTCCTAGACTCACACACATTTAGAAGGCAGTAAGCAGAGAAAAATCAAAGCATGTTTGTGGCTGTGAGAGTCCTTCAGGAAATTGCAACTTTTGCGATTGAAATAATTATGACTAGCAAGTGCCCACCACTTCGTCAACAAAAATTCTATCTTAAAATTCCAAACAAACTTCAGATTCCAGAAGTTTTTCCTTTTTTCGCAAAGAATAATAGGAAACTGTCTAGCTTTTACACCAAAAAGTCTTCAAAATCTTTCATTCTGAAGTTTACCAAGGAGGATATTGTACAATGGACCCACATCTAATTTTTCTGTCCAAAACTATATCAACGTCTCCATATGAAGATCCTAGAAATCAAAAGTGGCCTCAGTATCAAATCTCTATCCCTTCACCCATTACTAAATTTAGTAACATTTAGTACAAATATCCAAAACAATCTGCATCTCTCTATTCTGGGCACTAACAGTGATTCAAAATTAATACCATTCAGTACTTTTCGTACGATTATTGTATGCAAAACCACCATTAAATCTTAACACCAGATACTAACCAGTAAAGAAAGTCCTAAAGTCGGGCGAGGCCGATTTTATGATACCCTACACCACTTTGCTAATTTAGTTGAGCTCCACATAACAATTAAAAGTTTTTATGGGAGACTTCAATCATACACTAAATGATTATAATTATAATTTAAAGTTCAGAGGACTAAATATGCCGAAGTATTTGTATCTTTTAAATTCGGACTTGTATTGCCCATTTGGTGCAAAATTAATTTGAAATCAGATAAAGCTTCATTTGATATATTTCCCTGAATATCGTTGTTACGGAGTGCATATTACGGCTGTGGGTAATAAATACAACAAATCGGATGAACAATATATATGGGAGCTATAGGTATATCTGAACCGATCTTCACCAAATTTGGCATACTACCTTCTAGACTCAATTTGGTCTATTTCAATATTAGACGTTTGGTGCCCAATAAAAGGTAAATCGGACGAAGTTATATATGGGAGCTATATGCAAATCTGAATCGATCTCGATAAAATTTAGCAAAGGTATTTCTGAGCTGCATTTGATATATTTCCCCAAATATTGTTGTTACAGAGTGCATATTACGGCTGCGGAGGACAAAAATAACAAATCGGATGAACAATATATATGGGAAATATAGCTATATCTGAACCGATTTCGATCAAATTTGGCATACTTATTTTCAGGCCTAATTTGGTTGTATGTGCAAAATTCCATACTGATGGGCTGATATTACACGTTTGGTGCACAATAAAATGCAAATCGGGCGAAGATATATATGGGACCTATATCTAAAAGATTACCGATTACCTCCAATTTCAATAGGGTTCGTCCTTGGGCCAAACAAATGTTGTTTGGAAAATTTCATCTCAATCGGATAATAAATGCGACCTGACGGACGGACGGACAGACGGACTGACATCCATAAATCAACTCAGAAAGTGATTCTATGCAGATCATCAAAAGGAACTATGGGTCTATCTCGTTTCCTTTTGCCTGTTACAAACAAATACACAAAGACATAATACCCTGACCACCTTGTGGTGTAGGGTATAAAAAGACCTCAGTATCGAATTTCGGGATTAAAGCTCCACCGATTAACCTCATACCAAAGTTAGGATTTAGTACTATTCATACAATTGTAGAGCATATTTAAAAAACTACCACCATATCTCAAGTCCAAATATAAATAGAGACCTCAGTATTAAATTTAAAGATACCAGCCCTATCCCTATGCCCAATACAAAATTTAGTACAATTTAGAACTTTTCGTAACCACCGATTTCAACAGTGAAATCTATATCAAAATGCAGGATTTTAGCTCTATTCCTTTACCCAATACAAAATTTAGTACTTTTCGTACAATTGTAGTGCACATTTACAAAACCACCTCCATATCTTAAGCACAAATACAAACAATGACCTTAATATGAAGTTTGAGCATTCCAGTCTTATCCCTTCACCTAATGCTATATATATACAAATGTACAAATATAGTACACATTTCTAAAACCACCCCAATATATCAATTCCTGATACCAAGAGAGGCATCTATATAAAATTTCAGGATTTCAGCTCTAATCCTTTAACTAATACCAAATTCAGCACTATTTTGTTCTTTGAGTACAATTATAGTACACATTTTTAAAACCACCTCTACATCTAAATTCCAGACAACAACAGAGGGTTCAATATCAAATTAGAAGATACCAGCCCTATCCCTTCATCCAATACGAAATTTCAGATTGCAAGCACTATCTGTTCACCCAATACCACACTGTACCAAATATAGTACCATTAACAAAGATACCAATACAAACTGTCCAAATTTTCAGCTCCTTCCGTTCCCCCAAAATGTAGTCGTACCAAATTTACCACCATTTAGTACAGATCTTACACTCAGTACACATTTCCAAAACCTCATCCTTACATCAAATCCATTATTTCCAACTCTTGATTCTCCTACCAAATTTCAACATTTTACCTCTCTATCTTTACATAACTCCAAATGGTACCAAATTTAGTGCATTTTATTACTTTTTGTACAGGTGTTGTTCGAATTCCGAAAAACCCTTTTGTTTGTTTATCCCACACAACATCAAAGTCTTTTACTCCATTTCCAGTCCTTTTTTTTCCAAATACCAAAATTGATATTATTTAGTACTTTTTAGTACTTATTTCCATGTTCCCGCCATGTATAAACCGAACCGCACAAAATTAAATTTCCAGATCAATCCGTTCAACCAAATCTAAATTGTACCCAATTTAGTGCCATTTAGTACGGGTAAGTACAAATAATTTGTATCATTAAATAGAATATAAATGAGGATTCCAACCCTATTGGTTCACCCAAATCCAAATTGTACCAAGTTTTGTACCCTGTAGTACACATATGTACGAATTTCTAAAACTTCCTACATACCCCAATCCTAATTTTATTTCCAAATTTTAGGATTCCTCTATTAGTTCACCCAAAATTTAAATTGTACCAAATTTAGTACAATTTAGTATACATAAGTACGAATTTCCTAAAATCCTCAGTCCTAGAATGCAATGGTAATCTTATTTCTAAAATTCAGAGTTCCAGCTCTATCGATTCACCCAAATCGAATTGTATCATAATTAGTACTATTTTGTACTTTTTGGGCACATGAATGAGTAGTTACATTTCGAAAACTACCTCCATACGCCAATACTACAATGCATTTAGTAATTTTTATACAAATAAGTAACAATTTCGAAAATTACCTCCATATCCCAATCCTACTCTCCGCCACAAATTTTAGGATTCCAGATACATCCCAAATTTAAAGTGTCCCATGAAGCACACATAAGTACGAATTCCTAAAACTTTCTACATACCCCAATCGAAATTGTACCAAATTTAGTACCATTTCGTACTTTTCGTTCACATAAGTACAAATTTCGATAACTACCTCCATATCCCAATTCTACACTCCGCCAGTAATATTAATTTTAGATTCTAGGATTCCAGCTCCGTCCGTTCTTCCAAATTCAAATCGTCCCAAATTTAGTACCCTTTAGTACTTTTCGTGTACATGAGTACACACATCCAAGACTGCCTCTCTACATTGATCCCCTTTCCAAGAGTTGATTCCCTTTCCATATTTCAAGTTTTTAGATCAAACCTTCACATGATACGAAATGGTACCAAATGTAGTTCATTTTAGTGCTTTTCGTACACTTATAGTGCGAATTTCCAAAAGCCCTTTGGTACATCCATCATACACCACATTAAGAGTTCCAGCTCAATTTTTTTTGTCAAATATGTACAAAGGTTACCATATTTATTACTTTGTATTACTTTTCGTACCGATCCTGCATCTTTGACCATGTGTAACCTTCACCTCAGAGGATTTTAGTGAAAAATTGTAACCCCCAAGGAAGTCACCAAAAGGGTCTTTGGGATCTTATTAAATCTTAATTAAGGAAATAGAAGCCCTTTCCGGGATTTCCTATTTTTACATTTCAAATTATACCAGTTGTAAAAAATGAATTTTTACATTTTACTGTTAATAAATATTTATGTACACAAGACTATAAACATAGGATTTTTATAAAAAATTTTAAATATCAGTCTTTGCTAAATAATTTCGAATAAATAAAAATAAATAAATACCCCCATTGCTCTCTATGAATTCATATCCTCCATGGATATTTTACCCAATGCATAGGGTGCTCTGGAATTAGTTTTCACATAAAATATACCACTCTTGGGCTGTGAAGGCTCACCGCCCATGCGATAGTCCTGCGCGGACATACTATCACAATCCCATTTGGGATCACGGCTACGGCAACGTATACCCCAAAATCCAGCCGGTGATGTTATCGATTCGGCAAACATACGATAAGCCCTTATATGAGAACATCCGACATAGAAACACTTCCTTTGATATTTGCCATAATTTGGATAGAACGTGGCGTTGCCTGTGGGCTCCATGAAACCCAAATTGCCACTGGTTTGAATGCTCTCAACGTATTTGGCATCTGTAGGATCAATGCGAAATTCCGTGCTACGTCTACGGAATTTTGGTCCCGCCGGATCTAAAGCGAATATGGTGTTATAACGATTCGGCCAACTTTGTTTTCCAGCCGCCCCGGCAATTTGGGCTCCCAACGAATGTCCAATCAAATACATGTCATTGTAATTTATTCGCCCCTTTTCGTTCAGATGCTGGGTGAATCGGGCCAGATGACCACCGAAGGTTTCGATTAGTTTGACAACTCGAAAGTAGTTGATATTGGCTGCGTTGGCACTCCAATCGGCCACAATGACATTATAATCTCCGCGCTTCAAGTAGGCATTTTTCACATCCAAATTGAAGGACCCACGAGATTGACTCATCCAACCATGGATAATTATTCTGAAAGGAGAGAGAAAATAAAAGAAATGAGGAATATATATTTAAATAATAACACTGTGCAACACAAAAAATAATTAGAGGAAAAAATCGTCAGGTTATGAAAGTATAGTCGGATTAGGATTTCTTGGAATTCTAACATTGTTTTTGGCCCAAAATTTGAACTTTCAAGAGAGTCGCTAGGAACGTCTTTTCGTTTTTTTTTTTCAAAATAACGTTTAAATCTGCCTTTAAACGGCAAGATACTCTACTCTCTATATTAAAAGAATAATAAAGTAATTGACTGACTGATTGAATGTCTGACTGTCTGCCTGACTTAACGATTCAACAACGCCCAGACGAAACGGCTGAAGTTAGAAGAGATAAAACTCTGAAATTTGAAACTCACTGATGGAGTGTATGATAGATGTACCAAAGGGTTTCTGGAAATTCACACTATAAGTGTATGAAAAGTACTAAAATGTACTACATTTGGTACCATTTCGTATCATGTGAACAGTTAGAGCTAAAAACTCGAAATTTAGAATGGGAATCAAAGTTGAGAAGTAGGGTCAATGTACTAAGGTAGTTTTGGAAATGTGTACTCATGTATACAAAAAGTACTAAACAGCACTAAATTTGGAACAATTTAAAGGAAGGTATGGAGCTGAAATCCATAAATTTGAGATTTACATTACTGGTGGAGTGTTGGTTTGGGATATGCAGATAGTTTTTGAAATTTGTACTTATGTGTACGAAAAGAACCAAATGGTACAAATTTGGTACAATATGCTAAAATGTAGGAAGTTTTGAAAATTCGTACTTTTGGGTACTAAATGGTACTAAATTTTGTATAATTTAAATTTTAGGAGAACTAATAGAATTGGAACCTTAAATCTGCAAATAAGATTTATATTGGACTGTTTGTGTATGTAGATATGACAATTTGTATTTCATTGTATTAAATGGTACTAAATTTGGAAAAAATTGGATTTGGGCGAAACGGTAGATTTGGAATCCTTAAAGTTTAAATTGATATATGTGTGGGAGTGTAGGATTGTCGAATGTAGGAAGTTTAGCAAATTCGTTCTTATGTGTACTACATAGTGATAAATTTGATACAATTTGGATTTGGGTGGACCAATAGATGTGGAATCCTTAAATTGCTGTGGGAGTGTAGGATTGGGGTATGTAGGAAGCTTTGGAAATTTATACTTATGAGTACTAAATGATACTAAATTTGGTACAATTTGCATTTGGGTGAATCTATAGAGCTATAACCTAGAAATTGGGAAATACGATTTCTATTGGATTTCATGATGTAGGTTGTTATGGACATTTGTACTTATGTGCACTAAATGATACTAAATTTGAAATTTTGGGGAACATATAGTGATTGAAATTTGTGTAGCCTGGATATATGGAGGCGGGTTCGGAAATTCGTATTATTATTGTACGAAAAGTACTAAATGGTACTAAATTTGGTATTGGTGAAAGGATAGGGTTAGAATCCTCAAATTTGATATTAAATTGAAATATGGAGAAGCTTTGGATCCTGAAATTTTATATAGATGTCACTCTGGTTAATATATGGAGGTTGTTTTGGAAATGTGTACCATAATTGTTTGAAAAAAAATGGTACTAAATTTCTTATTGGGTGAAGGGATATAACTGGAATCCGGAATTTTGATATCGTGGTCTCTGTTGGTATCTGGAACTGAGATATGGATTTGTTTTTGGAAATATGTACTACAATTGTATGAGAAGTACTAAATAGTACTTAACTTGGTACAATTTGGTATTGGGTGAACATATAGTGATTGAGATCTGAAATTCGGTATTAGGGTTGCAGGTCATGTATTAAAATTTGATATGGATGTCACTGTTGATAACTGGGGTGGGTTTTTGAAGGTGTACTATAATTGTACTAAATGGTACTAAATTTGTGCTAAGGAATATGGCTGGAATCTTCAAATTTGATATTGAGGTCTCTTTTGGTATGTGAAATTGAGATATGAAGGTGGTTTTGGAAATATGAACTATAATTGTATGAAAGGTACTACATTTGGTACAATTTGGTATTGTGTGAACAAATGGTGTTTGGAATCTGAAAGCCTGGACATATGGAGGTAGTTTCAGAGATATGTACTATAATTGTACAAAAAGTTCTGAATTGTACTATATTTGGTATTGGGTGAAGGTATAGAGATTAAACTCTGAATTTTGATATTTAGATCACTGATAGTATCTGTGTTGAAGATTTCGGCTGTGGTATGGAAATGCGTCCTATATTCGTACCAAAAGTACTGAATGGCACTAAATTTGGCATTGGGTGAAGGGATAGAGCTGAAATCTTGAAATTTGATATAGATGTCACTTTTGGGTATGTGTTTAAGGGGCTGGTTTTGGATATGCGTACTATGATTGTATTAAATGGTACTACATTTAGTAATGGGGGAAATTAAAGAGCTGAAATCCCGAAATTGGATATTAAGGTCTCTGTTGGTATCTGATATCTGGGACATGGGAGTGGTTTCAGAAATTTGTTCTATTTCTAATTGTACGAAAAGTGCTAAAATAAAAAAAAAAAATGGTATTGGATGAAGGAATAGAGCCAGAATCCAAAATTTTGATATTAATGTCTGTATTGATATCTGGTGTTGAAATCTGGTGGTGGTTCAAAAAGTACTAAGCGGTACTAATTTTAGATCACTGTTGGTGTTTTGAATGGATAGATTGTTTTGGATAGGTGTACTTAATATTACTGAATATGGTATTAGGTGAAGGGATAGAGCTGAAATTCTGAATTCTGTTTCAACAGTTTACATATGGAGACGTTAAAATACTTTTGGACAGAAAATTTAGATGTGGGTCCAATGTGCAATGGTGTTTCCAATATCCTTCTCGGTAAACTTCAAAATGAAAGATTTTGAAGACTTTTGGACATTTTTCCTATTATTCTTTCCAAAAAATGAATATCTTGAATAATACTTATAGAACATTGAAAGTCTGAAAATTAAGTACGATGTATGAAGTTTTGATTAAAAAAATTTGTCAAATTGAAAAAATTTACTATTTTGTGTACTAAAAAGACCTAACACACGCTATTGGAACGAATCTGAAATTTTAAGGTGGGCTTTTCGGTAATGAAGTAGTGGGCTAATTTTATACGTAGTAAATACACATACCTTGTTGGATGCGAAGCATTCAGGCCACAAGTATAGATCGAATCATCGAAAAGACTTATTTCCCGGCCACAATCGGGAAAATCACGTTTAAATAAATAGAAATTCATTTGTAGCTTCGGTGCGGCATATGGCACCAGGTTGCGGAAGAATTTCTTCAAAAATGAGGTATCCAAATATTTCTTGGCTCCGCGGGGTTGACTTAAATAGTTGTCACACTTGTTCCATTCCATAAAATTATCTTCGCTATCTTCATCGTGTAGAAATTGATCATCGATTGGTTTCATTCTCAAGCTACTTAGATTTCGATTGCCTTCATTGGTGGCAATGTCATCTCCATAATCGTAATCATAATCCGTGGATGTTAATTCGGCGTCAACAACATCCTGTTGGGCCAGGGTGACTAAGAAAACAAAAAAAGCGACAATTTATTTCACATTTCTTTCATTGGGATTTACACACTGTCTTAATTGGCTGGGAACTTACAATATTTTGTTGTTGTTGTTGTCAGATAAATTGTTAAAGAAATAAATAAAAATAATTGCATTGTTTTGATTTGTGTTTTCTGTTTTTCTTTTTCTCTTTTCAATATTAACGTTCACTTAAAGCTTTTGAATTTTAAGCTTTATTAATATACTTTTAAATCTTGCTAAAAATATCCAATTCAGTTTTTTTCTTGTTTTTTGATATTTCAGAAATTCACGTTTAAAGTTCTTGTGTTCTTTATTTATTTATTCTCTGCAGGTATTATTTTTTTGCAGTCATCCAGCCAGCAATCACTACTTTTGTTTGTTTTGTTTCTGTTGTGTTCAGCGAGCGTTCCAATCGTTTTGTTTTGAATGCAATTTTTTGGTTCGTTCCCGCTAACACGTTTCGGATTTTTTCAAACTGCACTTGATGCCCGACTTGCGTATTCTATTCAGCTGCCAGAGTTTCATTCATGGTTTTATATGTTTTGGCCCCTTTGTGTTTTGGTTTAAACTTGTTTTAGGCTTTAAAGCCATATTTTTGCGCGTTCATTGCACGAGACTGATAGATAGTTTTGGGATTTTTTTGCTTTTTCCGTTCCATTACATCCCGTATTGCTCTGAATGAATTATTCGGAGTGCTATTATTGCAATTATTCATTTATGGAAAGTGTTTTTGTAGGTATTATTTGTTTTAGGTTTTTCTACTTTAGTTTAATTCAGAATTACTAATCAATGCGGAATTCGCTGTGAATTTGCTTTGAGTTAATCGTTTGACACGACCGGCCTAATAAAGAAACAAGTTTTTTTAGTGGAAGTACTAGAAGTGATGCTTGCGAATTTTATTTATAAATCGTGTGCTATGATTTTAATTCTGGCGGGAAATGCATCTGGCATTCTTAAAAAAAATTATGTTGGGGGAAATAAGACAGTTAAATGCCAAACTGCGGTAAAGAAATTTAAAATTGAGATGATTTGTTCGAAGTACAAGCCCCGTTGAGTCTTTATTAAATGCATTATTTAGCCGTAAAGAAAAGAACAAAAATTATGTACACATTTCGAGTTTAGAACGGTTGAAGTTAGAAACAAATAAAAAGCGGCTAAGTTTGACCGGGCCGTACTTTTAATATACTCCACTCTTTGGATGGAACTTGAAAAATTAAAAAAAAAAATTCCAAAAATTCCGCTTAAATGAAAACCGTTGTATGGGGGTTATACGAAGGCGTGGACCTGCATACGAACATTTTGTCATAGGCCCATTACGAACTTTATATACGTTACATTAAAATACAGGTTATCGGGAGGTGCCATTATATAGGGCTATATGAAAATGTGCACCTGCATACGAAATTTTGGTCATAGGCTATAGTACCGATTCCGAACTTCAAGTACGAAATTTGAAACAATTCCGGTGAAAAAAGTCGCTAATATCATAAAACAAGTAAAAAAAACATTAAATTCGGCCGGGTCAAACTTTTAATACCCTCCACCTTAGGGTAAAGGAAACATTAGAAGAAATGTGGCAAAAACCATTAAAATGCCGAATATCGGGAGGTACCGTTATATGGGGGCTACACCATAACGTGGACCTATAATTACAATGTTTCGTCACACGAAATAGGACTCATTATGACCCTCAAATACCAATTTTCAGACAAATCCGTGAAAAAAATGTGGCAAAAATCATCAAATTACCGAATATCGGGAGGTACCTTTATATGGGGGCTATACCAAATCGTGGACCCATACATGCAATATTTCGACACCGGAGCTGGAACCCATTATGACCCACAAATACCAATTTTTAGATAAATCCGTGAAAAGATGTGGCAAAAATAATCAAAATACCGAATATCGGGAGGTGCCTTTATATGGGGGCTATACCAAAACGTGGACCTATATATGCCATGTTTTGCCACACATACAGGGATCCGTTATGACCTACAAATACCAATTTTCAAAAAAATCAGTGAAAAAATGTGGCATAAATCATCAAAATACCGAATATCGGGAGGTACCGTTATATGGGGACTATACCAGAACGTGGACCGATATATCTCATTTTCAATACCTAGACACCTACAAATTGATCTGCTAAATTTTGGCGCTCTACGTCAAATAATGTGGGCTGTATCGTGATTCCAACAGACAGACAGACAGACGGACATCGTTAAACGTTAAATCGACTTAGAATTTTATGCTGATTATGAATATATATACTTTATGGGGTCTACGACGAATATTTAAGGATGTTACAAACGGAATGACAAAGTTAATATACCCTCCTTTCCAAGGTGGAGGGTATAAAAACCAATTATTGCATTGATAATATTCTGTTACATGCTGTAGTGTCTATTTGGAACTTACAATAAGAAATTTGAAACAATTCCGGTGAATAAGATCACTAATATCATAAACAAGTAAAAAAGCAGCAAAGTTCGGAACGAACTTTTAATACCCTCCATCATTTCGAAGGATCTTGAATAATTAAAATAAAATTCGTCGTAAAAAGTGAATTTGATAAGGAAAACCCGTTATATGGGGGATATATGAAGACGTGGATCTGCATAAGTAATTTTTTGTCATAGACTGTAGTATCGATTCCGGATTTCAAATACAATACAAACAATTCCGTTGAATAATGTCGCTAATATCATTGAAATACCGGATAAAGGGAGGTAATGTTATATATGGACTATGCGAAGACGTGGACCTGCATAGACTATTTTCTGGCATAGGTTGTAGTACTCATTACGAGATTCAAACTTTAAATACGAAATTTTAAACAATTCCGGTCAAAAGTGTCGCTTAAATCAACAATATATCGAATGTCGGAGGTAAAGTTATATGGGGGCTATACGATATCGTGGACCTATATAGACAATTTTTTTGCAGTGGGTGAAGTACTCAGAAGCAACTCCTAGTGTGGGTTCTCAGACAATTCCATGAAATATTAGAAAAATCAATTAAAAACATCAAAATACCGAATACAGGGAGGTACCGTTATATGGCGACTATTCGATATCGTGGACCTATATAGACAATTATCTTCCAGGGAATAAATTACTCAGAAGGAACACCTTGTGTGGTTTTTTAGACAATTCCATTGAAAAATGTGGCTAAAATTATGAAAATACCGAATATCGGGAGGTACCGTTATATGGGGGATATACGATATCGTGAACCTGTATAGACAATCCTCTTTCAGGGGGTGAAGTACTCAGAAGCAACTCCTGGTGTGGATTCTCAGAAAATTCCATTGAAAAATGTGGCTACAATCATCAAAATGCCGAATGTAGGAAGGTGCCGTTATGTGGGAGATATACGATTTCTTGGATCTATATAGACAATTCTCTGTCAGGGGATAAAGTGCTCACAAAAAACCCCTTATATAGAATTTCAGACCATTCCATTGAAAAATGTGGCTAAATCATCAAAATACCGAATATACCGTACCGTTATATGGAGGCTATACGATATCGTGGACCCATATAGACAATTCTCTTCCAGGGATTAAGTACCTACAAAGAACTCCTTGTGTAAAATTGCAGACAATTCCATTGAAAAATGTGCCTAAAATAATAAAAATACCGAATATCGGGGGGTACCGTTATATAGGGGCCATACTATATCGTGGACCGATATAGCCCATCTTCGAACATGACCCGCCTGCAGACAAAGGAGAGATCTGTGCAAAATTCTAGCTTCCTATCTTAATTCGTTTTGACTGTAGCGTGATTACAACAGACGGACAGACGGACGGACAGGGCTAAATCGTCATAGAATTTTACGTTGAATCATTATTTCGATGAGTTACAAATTGAATGACGAACTTAATATACCTTCCATACTATGTATGGTGGAGGGTATAAAGAAAACCATTCACACATATGACCGACATGGACCTGTCTTTATAACTTTCTGCACAAACTTTGTAAATCACGTTCCAGAAAATTCAATTTAAAATACCAGATATAGGGAAGTACCAAACTTGAAATGCCTGGTTTTAGAGAAAATTATTAAAATTCCCCATTTCTGGAGGTTTTATTAAAAGGTGGATATGGTTAAAGTTCTTCCAGAACAATAACAACTCATTACAAGGCTCAGGTATCAAATTTAAAGCATTGTCTTTTCTCTAAAATATTATAAAATTACCTAAATTAAATATTAGGTGAGGGTTATACTATATGTTGATCGACACAGCCCATCTTCAAAATTGTCCTGCCTGCGGAAAAAATACATCTCTGTGCAAAAACTAAGATTCTGGTTATAGCTGATTCTTTTTGAAAATTTACTTATCTGTGTCGATTCCTTCTAAAGTTCAAGTGATTACCACAAACGGAAAAAATGTAAATCGTCTTAGAATTTTATGCTGTTTAAGAGAATATGAACTGTAATCAGAATATCTGTTAGTATGTCGATAATTTTATGTCTGGGAAAATCTGCAGCTCATTTTTCATTGTAACTCAAAACTTTAAACAAACAGTCATATGAGCCATAAAGAAAATGGTAACAATATTAACGTTTTCCTACTAACAGTAGGTATGTTTGTGGGTATTTTTACGTTAACAGAAAATACGCAACCAAAAAGCCCAATATGAATGAGTAAAGTAGATATTATTATCTCCACACAAGTTATTTTTAATTTTCCAATGCGCTTTCTTATTGGCGATTGATACCGTTTTCAGCCATCGATTGGAAGAAGTTATGCAGCCATTGATTGCGTCTGCAGAAAATCCAACACTAGCTTTGGGTATTCCCTCAAGAAGTGGCATAGCATCGTTGCCAACTACAAAATTGGAAACTGGTAGGTAGGTGAGCTAACGTGGCCTAAGAGAAACCAGTTTTGTTTGTGAAGTTAAGAAGAGTTTTTGTTTGGTTTTTGTGTTTAATACGCTCTTTATTTCTATACTTCATATGTTGAGTATTAGCAGTGCTCTCTTCGAAACTCTTAATTAATATTATGACGTTTTGCTGAAACAGTATGTGATTATGTCATATTCTTTGTTTTCTGTTGCTAGAAAATGCTGTATTAATTTGTTCTTAGATATAGCGTGTTATTGATCGGGAATGTACAAATAAAAATAACAAATTTTAATTTTTTGTCCCAACCACAAAAAATAAAATTTAACAACTCCATGGGACACTAAATGAATGTTCCAAAATTACTTTCTTATTTTTAGGTATATTAGCAATCGCAAGTAAATCCCCAAAATTATGTTAAGTGTATATGGCTTTTATCTAAATTCGGGATTTTTTTTTTCAAATCAATTAGATATAAAATAAATCACAAAATGTTGTTGCATTGCTTTAATCTGAAATAGATTGGGGTCTTTTTGTTTGGGAATTATTTTGTAGCGTGTGCCTGAATTAAACACGTGATTTGACCCAAAATTTCAAAAAAACTTTTCTGCAGAATCTTCACTTTTGGTATCAAA